CAGCAAAGTCTCACGTGTAAAACAGTACCCCCTATGTACAGGTTTTATGGCGTTTTGGGAGGTTACAGGGTCAAATATAGCACGTTACATTTGAAATTGAAATTCGCCAGATTGGTTACGTTGCCTTTGGGACTTTATAGTAGCCCAGGAATGAAATTTACACCCATAATGGCATACCATTTGCAATAGTAGACAACCCAAGGTATTGCAAATGGGGTATGTCCAGTCTTTTTTAGTAGCTATTTGGTCACAAACACTGGCCAAAGTTAGCGTTAGTATTTGTTTGTGTGTGAAAATGCAAAAAATGCCAATTTTGGCCAGTGTTTGTGACTAAGTGGCTACTAAAAAAGACTGGACATACCCTGTTTGCAATACCTTGGGTTGTCTACTATTGCAAATGGTATGCCATCATAGGGGTAATTTTCATTCTTGGGCTACCATAGGGTCTCAAAGGCAACGTAACCAATCTGGCGAATTTTAATGTGAAAAAATGAAACGCAAGCCTTATATTTGACGCTGTAACTTTTGAAAACACTATAAAACCTGTACATGAGGGGTACTGTTGTACTCGGGAGACTTCACTGAACACAAATATTTGTGTTTCAAAACAGTAAAAAGTATCATAGCAATAATATTGTCCGTTTAATGCTGTTTGTGCGTGAAAAATGCAAAAAACGTCACTTTTACTGGCGATATCATCGTTGTAATACATTTTACTGTTTTGAAACACTAATATTCGTGTTCAGCGAAGTCTCCCGAGTAGAACAGTACCCCCCCATGTACAGGTTTTATGGTGTCTCGGAAAGTTATAGGGTTAAATATAGTGCTAGCAAATTAAATTCCCTTTACTTTCGGCATGGGTTGTCATGCAGGTCCTGCTAATTGTAATTAATTAAGATACCTAATTATGTAAAAATATTACATAAATATATATGTAGAATCAATATATATATATATATATACGTATGTGTATATATATATGTATATATCTATATAATTTTTTTTAAATATTTTTATTTATATATAGGTATATATATAGTGATATATACGTATATATTTATGTGTATAAATATATATATTATTTCGTTCTATGTGTATTTTTATATATATATATATATATTAATTTCACAATACAGTTAGAACGAAATAACACACATCTATATATTTTTAATTATTTATTTTTAATTATTTTTGTAATTTTATTTTTTAACGTATTTACATTTTAATTTTTTTTATAATATATATAAATATATATATAACAATAATTATATATATTTAATCAGTATCAGTGTACGTGTAATTTGATATTAATATATATATATAATTATATATATATTAATAGTAAAATACACCTAGACGGTGTACATGTGTGTATGTATATGTGTGTATATATATACTTTGATCATATATATGTAATATATATATATGATCTAAGTATATATTATTTATTTTTTTACACTATTTATTTATTTCATTTTTATTTTCAGCCAGCAGGGGGACCACCTGTCATTACAGGCAGCCCCCCTGCTGGCAATACAGAAGCCAGCTATCCCCGGCCATGTGATTGTGGGGTCCTCGCTAGGACCCCACTCTCACACGGCCGGGGGGCTTCCTGGAGGACGGTCGTGCCGCGGGGGGCTCCCTGGGAGTCCCCCCCACCGCGATCGCCGGCGTGGGACCGCCGGCGACCGGTTAAGTACAGAAAGACCGGAGGGCGTACTATTACGCCCGGCGGCGTTTAGAGCCGCCTATTAGAGGACGTAATAGTACGCCCTCCGGTCTTAAGGGGTTAATTGATACGCTTTCTTGAAGAAGTGAATTTTCAATGATTTTCAATGGGTGAAAGTCTTACGGAGAAGGGAAAGGAGTCCACAGAGGAGGGGCAGCCCTGGAGAAATATTGGAAGCAAGCATCAGAGGTGGGAGTATGAACAGAGGATAGACGTAAGTCTTTGACAGAGCGTAGGGGCCTCGACGGGACATACTTGAGTAGTAGGGAGGACAGGTAGGTTAGAGCAGCATTATGTAGGGACTTGCAAGCAAGCACCAAAATTTTAAATTGAGCCCTATATCTAACTGGAAGCCAATGCAGGAACTGACAGAGCAGGGAGGCGTGGGAGGTGCAAGTGGACAGGAAAATGAGCCTTACCGCTGCATTCATTATAGATTGCAGCGGTGCAATCTGGGAACACGTAAGACCGCTGAGAGGGGGATTGCAGTAGTCAAGAGAGAACAACAGCATAGACCATAGCCGCATCCGGTGTTAAATAGGGGCGGATGTACGCTATGTTTTTGAGATGGAAGCGACAGGATTTGGCGATAGATTGAACATGAGGGGTGAAGGAGAGCTTAGAGTCAAAAAACGCCCAAGCAGCTAGCCTGTGAGGTAGAGGTGATGGTAGCGCTGTTGACTTGGAGGGAGACAGACACGGGAGTAGCAACACTTGAGGGAGGAAAGACCAGAAGTTCTGTTTTGGACAGGTTGAGTTTAAGGAAGTAAGCAGCCTTCCAGTTGGAAATCGCAGAGAGGCAGTCAGAGACACGAGTCAAGATGGGCGGAGAGAGATCACAAGAGGACAGGTAGATTTGCATGCCATCAGCATAGAAATGATAACGGAAGCCAAAGGAGCTGATGGGTTTACCAAGGGAGGCCGTATAGATAGAGAACAGTAGGGGACCAAGGACAGAACCTTGGGGGACACCGACAGAGAGTGGTTGAGGGGAAGAGGCAGAGTCAGAGAAAGAAACACTGAAAGAGCACTGGGAGAGGTAGGAGGAGCACCAGGAGAGAGCAATATCCTGTAGACCAAAATTACAGAGAATGCGAAGAAGCTGTTGATGATCAACAGTGTCAAAAGCAGCAGAAGGAGAATTAGGATAGAGTAATGGTCGCGAGATTTAGCAGCAAATAAATCACTGGATACTTTGGTCACAGCCGTTTCGACAGAATGACCAGCATGGAATCCAGACTGAAGGGGGTCAAGCAGAGAGTTGGATTCGAGAAAATCAGTCAATCTGGTGTACACAACTCTCTCAAGGATCTTGGAGGCAAATGGCAGTAGCGATATAGGGCGGTAGTTGGATGGAAAGTTGGGGACAAGGCTGGGCTTTTTCAGAATTGGGGTTATGGTTGCATGTTTGAAGGGTGATGGAAATGTGCCAGAGGAATGGGAGAGATTGAAAATTTTAGTGAGAGGAAGAGCAAGAGAGGGAGACAAGGTGCAGATGAGATACGAGGGAATAGGATCGAGGGAACAGGTGGTGGGGCGGGAGAACCGGAGCAGAGCATAAACCTCTTCTGCTGTAGCAGGGGCAAATGAGTGTAGAATCTCTGTTCCACATCTCAATCTTGTGATACACTCTCTGCATACTTCTGAATCAATAGAGGCCCCAAATAAGCTTTAGGATTATCCACTGTTAAGACACCTACTGATTCAACTCCCTGAAACCAACGAATGAATCTCAGACTGACCCGCTAGCACTCAACTTTGTGTTTTGTTAATTTTTCAAATAATTTGTATTTGTAATTTGTTTATCCGCCTAGTCAGTATTTAGAATATAATAACTGTAAACCCAATTATGCAATTAACTGGACATTGTTATTTGTCTGTATTAATGTTATAAAGGCCGAAATAAAAACTATATTTAAAAAAAAAAAAATGAAAGTTGTTTGGAAAAAGTTCTGCCCTCAGTTGTTTGGTACTAATGTTGAAGGGTTTGAAGTACCAGCAGAAATTGTACAGCAGAACACAGAAGCAATCGTTACTCTTGCCAACAGATTGGATCTGGACATCTCTGCAACTGACGTAAATGACCGTCTTGAAGCACACAAGGAAGAACTTACAAATGAAGACCTCTTAAATATTGAAGAACTTGAGGAAGTTGAAGAGGTAGAAGATGTTACTGCACCTGAAACTCCTGTTCGTTCTTTCACTTTTAAAGGCCTTGAAGAAGCATTTCAACACAAGATTCTAACTTTGAGAGAAGTACCAAAATTGCTGGAGATCTAAAAAATGCTTACGTCTGCTATAAAGAAATTTACAAAGAAAAAAAAAGAATGTGTTGGAAGCAAACCACTATCACAGCTTGTCTACAGAAAGGTGTCGTGACTTGTTCTGTCTCAAACGAACCAGAAACAAGTGAGATGCGGCCTTCAACAAGTACCAGACAACTGAGGGTGGACTGTGCGCTGCCCCATTCATCGTCTCTGCAACGTCTCTTTATTGAGGACGATGATGATTGAGGATAATTTGATGAAGAATTCAATATGGTGTGTATCTCTTTAATGTTCCTACAACATATATGCACTGTATCTTTCCATGTATAAGACGCCCCCATGTATAAGATGACCCCAAAATTAAGAAATACATATTTTAAACATCAAACAGAATGACTTTGATATTTTCAAAGCACCGGTATATTTAGCTGCAGCTCCAGCTCTCCCCCCTGTACTTTACTCTTGATATTTTTACGGTATGTACAGTATTTACTCCCCGAGTACCTATTTCATTATAACATTCCGCCGGCTCCCTGAGTGCCGAAAGAGTGTACATGGGGAGTGGGGGGCCTGGACAGAGCAGTGATTGAGGAGCTGCGCCTGACCTGGTGAGTGTTTAACGTGTTGCAGCCCATGCAAGTTATTCCCCTTAGCTCTCACTTTATGAACTTGGCTTCGGAATCAATTAGTTCGTAAACTAGGGAACTACCTTTATATTGAAATTGAGTTATTTTGGAAGAGCTGTGGTTTGTAACTCTTTAGTTTTTTAACATGGTAAAAGCATGGTAGATCGGGGCAGAAACTAAAGATTAAAAAATGGGTAATGTGGGGGGCTTAGGGGCATAGTGAACCACACATCTGGGACTTTAGCCCCAAAATCACACCCTAATGATAAAAATTTTTTCAGAATGGCACTTTACAGATGCTACGTCTTTCTGGTGCAGTGAGCAGGTGCTTCACTAGAACTGCGTGAGGAGATACTTTGACGTGCACTCTAACATTTCTTACCGATTCTTCTTCAATAGGTCAAGCTCCTGGTTTTCCAATCTTATAATCTTCACCCCTTTGTTTTCCACCACTTCCCTCCATTCGGTGATTACATTGGTCTCATCCAATATCAGGGAGTATACTGTGAGGCATATGGGGAGGATTCCTGGGCTCCCAAGTTTGACGCGGTTCACAATACTCATTGGGTTCAGCAGGGCATTGGCCGTTACTAAATCTCCCTCTTCCAGCAGGACATGGACGCACTCCGTGTGCCCACAGTACTCTGCACCCACTGTTCTGGTCCCAGGATCTAGCAGAAGAGTTGATATTAGATCTCCGGTACCGGCTGCTATAAGACGCACAGTATTGTCTGCACACACACACAAGGCTCTAGAAGGTAATTGTCCTTGACTCGTTGTGATGTCGGTCAACATGACTCCTACAGGGGCATGTAGCTGATATAGTTTGTGTACTTGCCACACATCAAGAACACAACTCATCTGTGAAACAACAAATGTCTCATCTTCATCAAACATCTCCAACTTTAGCACCATCCCTGTCAACTGTTGTTCCCCAACCTGCTCATGGGTCTCCAGATCCCAAGAACGCAAGGTGGAATCTTCAGAACCTGAGTAAACAGTCATGCCAGATACATCTAGAGACAGAGCAGTTACTGGACCTGTGGTGAAAGAGAGACAGAAAGAGCTCAAATATAAAACAGAGTAACATGAGAAAAGGGTCTTCTAAATACCAATACATCCTACATCAGGACTGTCAAACTCTGCTGACAACTCCCATAATTCTCTGCCTGTCCTTTGTATAGAAATACCAACATGAAGGGGTGCCTGGGTTGAAATAGCTGAATCTCCCATACACGGCTTTATATCTCACCTGTACACCTTATATACACAGCTTCATATCTCACATGTACACCCCATGTACACCGCTTTAAAGCTCATCTGTGCACCCTATATCTAAAGCTTTATATCTCACATGTACACCCCCATACATCGCTGTGACAGATTCATCTGTATTGCTGGTTCGTCTGTTTCCCTTTGTTTCGCTGAATTTCCTGTTCGTATGCCCTTGTTCGTGTGATTACAAAATACCGATTGAAACCACCGAACGAACGACCACCCAGGAGAGGAGTATGCTGCTGGTTAACCTCTTGGCCCCAATTAGAACGTTGTGGTTAACCGCAGACACCTCTCCATGCCATTCGTACGGGTGGTCATCGTTCGCATGTCGACCATGAGGCAGCGGCCATTTTGGGACACGAGGAAGCATAGCGGTGTTCGGTACAAATCCTATGGAACTGAAAACGGACACTTTAATCTACCGAACACCGCTGGAAGCTGCTGCCCACCTTCTATTTCGGCGAGACGCACGAACGCCGGTTGTTCAGGAGTTTTTATACATTCGTATGGACCTTTACCCAGATAGCCGTCCCATGGAGTCATTCGTATACCGAAGGACTGGTGAAAGACTTTGACTTCATGGCGATTCGACTAGATACATCGGATCTGAGCGCTATTCGGTAGAAATATGCACTCAGATCCAGGCTGTCTGGGGATACGTTACACGAACTATATTCATTCGGTATTTCTTCAGTTATATATTTTAATGTATTCTTCTTACTGTATTTTAAAATGGCGATTGTCTCTATCCTGGGAGATAATTAGGTTTCTTCCTAATTATCTCTGGGGTAGAGAAGAAGGGTTTATGGGTAAGAAGGGAAGGGCTTATATTGAAGCCACTGCGATTGGCTACTGTCCAATATGTTTTACAGTCTTCCACAAGGTCCCCTCGGGGAGTGTCCACCTTGTGGAGACCTGCATAAATACCGGGCAGGTAGCCCCCATTAAACAGAACCTTATTTGACCCTCAAGACGGAGCTTGGTCTCGTTTGTGGGGGAATTATTACTGGGACAGCGCTTTCGTTATTTTTAGCTGTGGAAGGCGTTCGACTGTTTTGCTGATCGGGAGTTGCCGTGTTCGTGAACTTCGTTCGGGAGTTTGGCGGTCGGCTGAATATAAACTGCATTTCTGGAGAGGGGGATTATTCACTAAACGGCGGCTTCATCTACCTGGCGGTGAGTGTCGTAACAATTGGTGGCAAGCGACGGGATGAATCCTACCGCCCAGAAGGCCAGCTACACATCCCAGGTTGGAAATGCAGTATGAAGAGTTAAGGCGTGCTACCCTTAAAGATATATTGGAACGCAGAGGACGATCAGCGAGTAATCTCAAGAAAAGGGAGATTATTGCCATATTATTGGAAATGGATGCAGCACAGGGAACGGGAAGAACTGATGTGCCTGGCATACTGGAGTTAACACCCGAGGAGATACAATTTAACCGGGCAGTTCAGATCAGGCTGGCACACTTTGACCCCAACCCCGCAGCAGATATTGTGGTTCAAGTGCAAGCAGCAGTAGCAGCACAACAGGCGCTTCAGGGAAGAGGAGCTGCAGCAGCTGAGGTACCCTATAATAATAATGGAAGGAGGAAGGTACCTTTTGCTGCATTTAGAAATTTTGTAGAAGCCGAAGGAGAGATTGATGGGTTCCTGGCTGATTTTGAAAGGCAATGTGCCTTACACCAGGTACCCGCAGAGGAATGGGTCACCATCCTCTCTGGAAAGTTATCCGGCCGGGCCAGTGAGGCGTTTCGGGCCATCCCAGAGGAGGAAATTACCAGCTACAGGGCAGTGAAAGATGCCCTTTTGGCCAGATACGCTGTAACCCCTGAGGCGTACCGGCAGCGATTCCGGGACACTAACAAACAAGCTGGCGATTCTTATGTGGAGTGGGCATGCCGAGTACACCGCACCGCACCGCAGCCCACTGGATGGCAGGGTGCCAAGCGGTAACTGGGGAAGAAGTGCTGCAAGTGTTTTTGTTGGAGCACTGCTTTGATCGCTTACCTGCAGGAGTCAGGGAGTGGGTTAGGGACCGCAAACCCGCTACCTTACCCGAAGCTGCTCGTCTGGCTGATGAGTACACTGATGCAAGGAAACTGGACCAGACAGCAACCAAGGTCCCTACCCGAGTGGAGTACAAACCAGCAGCCCCTCCAACCACTGCAGTGTATCAACACCTAGCGCAACGCACCCCCACAATGCCAACAGTGAACAATTATGTTCAGCCAGCCTGGTTCAACGCCCGGGATTACTCACAGCCTATCCGGTGCTATGGGTGTAAACAGTTGGGGCACAAGAGACCGGAGTGTCCATTGAATAATTCCAGCCAAGCCCAGTCGTGGAGAAGACCAGCCGGTGGAAATCAGCAGCCACCCCAACCTTCCGCTCACTGCCTTGAGCAGGAGGAATTTTGGGGTATCCTACACGAGGCGAATCCAGTACAAGCAGCGCAGCAGGATAACCGTCAACAGCACAGGCAGACCGTTAAACTAAATGGCAAAGCAGTAACTGGTCTGAGAGACACCGGAGACACTATGACCTTGCTCCAAAAGAACCTTGTTTCAGAACACCAGCACACTGGAAATACTGTGGCAGTGAGGGTAGCGGGAGGTGCAGTGTTCCGTCTGCCTGTTGCCCGGGTTCATTTGGATTGGGGAGTGGGCTCTGGACACGTGAATGTGGGGGTCATGAAAGACTTACCTGCTGATGTTTTGCTCGGGAATGACTTGGCCCCTTTGGTGTCCGCTTATGCTCCAATGGGACCTGCTGATATCAACCCAGTGACTACCCGTGCCCAGACCCGTGCTGCTGGAACCAGCCCACCTGCTGCTGAGACCCAGGTAAGACCCGATTCCCCGACTGGTACCCTAGAACAGAGGAGTTTGGGAGGGAAACCCAGGCAGATTTGACGCTCCAGAAGTATAGGGACAGAGCGGATACTGGAGAGGAAGGAGTAGATGGGGAACGGTATGAGTGGGTGGGGGACAGGTTGTATAGGATCCCCAAGCTTTCCCCGAAAAGTGTTGCCCCTCCGCCGAATCGACAGCTGGTGGTGCCCGCAAAATACTGGCAGGAGATTCTGCGGATAGGGCATGATGTTCCGCTAGCTGGACATCTAGGTTCTCGCCGCACAGCCTATAGGATCATGCAGAACTTCTTTTGGCCAAACTTTAATCAGGCTGTGCGGATATATTGTAGTACGTGTGACACATGTCAACGGGTAGGAAAGCGGGGGGACCACCCAAGAGCTAGGCATATGTCTATGCCTATTATTGGGGAGCCCTTTGCCCGTATAGCCATTGACATTGTGGGTCCACTGGCCAGGGCTAGTCCATCTGGTAAGAAATATATTCTCACCGTGGTGGATTATGCCACTCGCTATCCAGAGGCAGTAGCGCTGTCTAATATAGAGGCAGAGACAGTTGCTGATGCCCTGGTTAGGATTTTTACCAGAGTCGGGTTCCCTAAAGAGATTCTCTCTGACCAGGGAACCCAATTCACCGCTGTGCTTACTCAGCAACTGTGGAAGGTGTGCGGCATTAAACCGCTGCTTAGCTCACCTTACCATCCACAGACTAACGGTCTCTGCAAGCGATTTAACGGTACCCTCAAACAGATGTTGAGGACCTTTTCTGACACTTGCAGAGACTGGGAGCGATTCCTGCCTCATCTGTTGTTTTCCTACAGAGAGGTGCCCCAGGAATCTACTGGGTTCTCCCCCTTTGAGTTGCTATATGGGAGAAGGGTCCGCGGACCCCTAGATCTCATTAGAGGCCACTGGGAGGGGGAGACAGAGCAGGAAGGGACCCCCATAGTACCGTATGTTCTGGAACTCCGGGACCGCATGGAGAAACTGTCTCTAATGGTAAGGGAGAATCTCCAGGTGGCTCAGGGGAGACAGAAAAGATGGTACGATCGGGGTGCCCGACAGCGAGTCTTCCAGGTTGGGCAGAAAGTGTTAGTGCTCAAACCTGTGAAGGCGAACAAGATGCAGGCATCTTGGCAGGGCCCGTATAAGGTGTTAGCGCAGGTATGTGATACTACCTACCTTATAGCCAGTTGTTCAGATGAAAGGATCCAGCGATCCTTCCATGTGAACATGCTAAAGGAGTATCAGGAGAGACCGAAGAATGTCGCTGCAGTATGTGCCCCTGCTGCAGATGATACCGAAAGTTTACCCTTACCAGATTTGTTAGAGACGGACTCCCAGACCGATCTTACTAGCCTGGTACAGCTAGGGGACAGATTGAGCTCCACCGAGAAGGACCAGGCAAGACAGCTTCTGTGGGAGAAGCAGGCGACGTTCTCCCAAGAACCTGGCTACACTACCCTAGCTGTACACAAGGTAGAAACCCCTGGACAGAACCCTCTACGACAACCCCCTTACCGTATCCCTGAAGCAGTTCGAGAAGGAATGCGGAAGGAGATACAGGAGATGACCCAGCTTGGGGTCATCGAACACTCCGATAGCCCTTGGGCTTCGCCTGTAGTCCTGGTGCCCAAGAAAGATGGGACCACCCGGTTCTGTGTGGACTACAGGCGCCTCAATGAGCGGACCACCACTGACGCCTACCCGATGCCCCGGGTAGACGAATTGTTAGATCGCATTGCCAGGGGGTGCTATCTGACCACCATAGACCTGTGTAAAGGCTACTGGCAGATTCCCCTGGCCGAGGACGCTATCCCTAAGTCGGCCTTCGTCACCCCATTTGGCCTGTACCAATTCAAGGTCATGCCATTTGGGATGAAGAATGCCCCGGCTACCTTCCAGCGTATGGTGGATAGACTTCTTGATGGATTCCAGGAATTTGCTTGTGCATACCTGGATGACATTGCGATCTACAGTGGGTCCTGGGAGGAACACCTGGTTCATGTAGGGGTAGTACTGGACAAAATTCGGGCCGCTGGCCTGACATTGAAGCAAGAGAAGTGCCATCTAGGCATGGCTGAAGTGCAGTACCTGGGTCACAGAGTGGGGTGTGGGAGCCAGAGACCAGAGCCAGCCAAGATAGAGGCAGTTGCTAACTGGCCCACACCGATCACTAAGACCCAGGTGTTAGCCTTCATAGGGACAGCAGGGTACTATAGACGCTTTGTCCCCGACTACAGCACTATTGCTAAACCCCTGACTGACCTGACAAAGAAAAATCTCCCTAAGCAGGTCCTGTGGTCTCCAGCTTGTGAAGCTGCGTTTCAAGCACTCAAACAAGCTCTTGTGAATGCCCCTGTCCTGGCTGCCCCAGTCCCTAACAAACGTTTTCTAGTCCATACAGATGCTTCCATGTATGGACTGGGGGCTGTGCTGAGCCAGGTCGGGGAAGATGGAGGAGAGCACCCTGTCGCATATCTCAGTAGAAAGCTGTTACCCAGAGAAGTGAGTTATGCGGCAGTGGAGAAGGAATGTTTGGCCCTGGTGTGGGCATTGAAAAAATTAAGCCCTTACTTATATGGACAGGAATTCTCACTTGTGACGGACCACAATCCCCTTGTCTGGCTCAACCGGGTCTCAGGAGACAATGGCAGACTGCTGAGGTGGAGTTTAGCACTACAACCATATAACTTCACCATCAGCTACCGACCCGGTAAGCAGAACGGGAATGCAGATGGATTGTCCAGGCAAACCGACATTCTTACCACCTCTTAGCCAGTCATCCCCACGTTGACCCGCCAAAGGGTCAAGCCGGGTCTGCCGGAGTGTCCCACAAGGGGGGAGCCGTGTGACAGATTCATCTGTATTGCTGGTTCGTCTGTTTCCCTTTGTTTCGCTGAATTTCCTGTTCGTATGCCCCTGTTCGTGTGATTACAAAATACCGATTGAAACCACCGAACGAACGACCACCCAGGAGAGGAGTGTGCTGCTGGTTAACCTCTTGGCCCCAATTAGAACGTTGTTGTTAACCGCAGACACCTCTCCATTCCATTCGTACGGGTGGTCATCATTCGCATGTCGACCATGAGGCAGCGGCCATTTTGGGACACGAGGAAGCGTAGCGGTGTTCGGTACAAATCCTATGGAACTGAAAAAGGACACTTTAATCTACCGAACACCGCTGGAAGCTGCTGCCCACCTTCTATTTCGGCGAGGCGCACGAACGCCGGTTGTTTGGGAGTTTTTATACATTCGTATGGACCTTTACCCAGATAGTCGTCCCATGGAGTCATTCGTATACCGAAGGACTGGTGAAAGACTTTGACTTCATGGCGATTCGACTAGATACATCGGATCTGAGCGGTATTCGGTAGAAATATGCACCCAGATCCAGGCTGTCTGGGGATACGTTACACGAACTATATTCATTCGGTATTTCTTCAGTTATATATTTTAATGTATTCTTCTTACTGTATTTTAAAATGGCGATTGTCTCTATCCTGGGAGATAATTAGGTTTCTTCCTAATTATCTCTGGGGTAGAGAAGAAGGGTTTATATTGAAGCCACTGCGATTGGCTACTGTCCAATATGTTTTACAGTCTTCCACAAGGTCCCCTCGGGGAGTGTCCACCTTGTGGAGACCTGCATAAATACCGGGCAGGTAGCCCCCATTAAACAGAACCTTATTTGACCCTCAAGACGGAGCTTGGTCTCGTTTGTGGGGGAATTATTACTGGGACAGCGCTTTCGTTATTTTTAGCTGTGGAAGGCGTTCGACTGTTTTGCTGATCGGGAGTTGCCGTGTTCGTGAACTTCGTTCGGGAGTTTGGCGGTCGGCTGAATATAAACTGCATTTCTGGAGAGGGGGATTATTCACTAAACGGCGGCTTCATCTACCTGGCGGTGAGTGTCGTAACAATCGCTTTACACTTCACCTGTACACCCAATACACACAGCTTTATATGTCACCTGTGCACCACTCCACCACAGACAGGTTATATCTCACTTGGACATGTTATGTATCACCTGAATACCCCACAGACAGGTCTTGTCACCTGTAAACCACACATAGATAGCTATATACCTTACCTGTACTGATTAATTTCTCACTTGTACACCCCCATATCCAGCTTTATCTCCCACCTGGACACCACACAGACACAGATCTATCCTGTACACTTTATGTACATAGCCTTACAGCTCACCTGAGTGTCCCAAATATGCAGCTTTCAATTGTGCCTCTCCATTCCAGATCTTAATAGATCCATCTCTGGATCCAGATATCAGGAGCTGAAGAAATTCTGAGTATAAAAGCCCTGTAATTCTCCTGTGGAAAGAGAGCATTTTTCTATTTGTAGACTATTTAAATGTCTATAATACACAATTATACTATGTATTGCAGCTGTGTTCTTTCATACTGTTTGTGCTATTTACAAATTATTTTTACACTAAATTTTACTTTATCTCAGGGAGGAGACTGCATTCTCTCCACAGGTAATATATCCTCAAGAAGCTACAACAACAAATCCTTCTCTTCATTTAAGATGGGCATTCCACCTTATAATATCTCCTGTCCATCCCACAGTCTATGTACCCATCACCTCACAGAGTCTCCTATCTCCTCTCACTGATTACCTGTCCATCTCGCATTCTATGTACCTTTCACCTCACAGTATTTCCTATCAATGCTACAAAACACAGATTATCGGCACGTTTAGTTATTAAGATTTAGTATCTCACCTGTGGTGCAGATCTCTTCGAATTCTCAGTAGATTCCCACTATTTAAGTCATATTCCCACACACTAGTCCTACATACTGCAAAACATGTATGTGGCAGTGCTGATGCTGTATCCAAAGCGATGACAGTAACTCTGTCCTGCTCTGTCATCCCCTGATTGAGGAATTGGTGACAGGTGAGATTACGTGTGCTGTGACTAAATCTCCACACAGTGACTCCGCCACATCCACCACTTAGAACATGGTTTCTGCCTGAATCGTAAGCAGAACAGGACACACCCTGCTTCACTGGACACCGTGACACCATGGCCAGAGACTGGTCCAGCACCAGCAATTCCTTGTGGCTCCATGCTACGTATTGCTGCACCTGCCATGCGTACAGTATTCCACAAAGAGGCCACATGAAATGTACACATCTCCCCACTTGTCCTCCTCTGTCATGCTGCTGAATATGTCCAACAGAATCAATAGACACAAAGAGGTGTAGTGTAGGTATGTAGGCGACATATTTAATGGAGTTGGTAAATGGAATATGAAGCAGAAGATGCAGGCCATGGTGCAGAACTTGAGCCTGGAGATCCTCTTGTTTCACCTGTAAACATAACACATGGTTCAGAGTAGTTATGCAAATCTGCTACATAAAGAGGATACAGAAAACTTGTGATTGGATCACTTAGAAAAATCTGTTACAGCAATGAAATAAAGATAATGTAAGCAAAAATCCGAGGTCAGATGATATTCACCCATGAGTAATTAGGGAACTAAGGCGTTGATTTAATTCCAGTCATGACCCTCCATGAGGTCATTAGTAAATTATAAAGTGGGTGGGGGGCATAGTGCGTTTTTTTGTTTTGTTTGTTTGCAATCTGATCTCAAGGCGAGTGGGTGGTAGGTAGGCTATTTATATTAGGGGTGGCTAGAAGCTTTGGGATCCTTCACTGCAGTTTAGTAGATATGTCCATATTCACAGCACGGTGGTTGGGGACAGAAGGGATGTTTTAAAACTCCCTTATACTAATATAGGTTTCCTATTGACCCCCTTACCTTTTAATGAATTTCTTTTTTAATGGTTATGACACTTGACACTCAAATGTATTGGCAATTTTATTTCAAACAGTCAACCCATTTATAAGATTCAGCTGCTGAGATTCCAGCTGGAATTAAATACAGTTGGAACCAGAAAGAAAGGATGAGAAATAGTCAATGTTAAGACACTCCCGGTATAGAGGAGTGAAACCGCCGTTTAGTTGAGCTTCCCCTCTTTAGCGATGCAGATCCTATTCGTGTAGACCTCAAATTCCCGAACTGAAACTAGGGGAATGCGCCAATCTCCAGAACCGCATCCGTGATATTCTTACAAACTCCCGAACAGTAAGCCCACGAATCGCGGTTAACTGCCGAATTGATATAATATGCAAGCGGCTTACGTTCCCAGCAATCAGTCTCTAACCGTGTATAGTAAATCCCCCCAATAACGAGACCAAGCTCCGCATTGAGGGTAAAACAAGAACTGGCTTTACTGAGGGCTACCCGCCCGTATTTATGCAGGTCTCCCACTTGGTGGACACTCCCCTAGGGGACCAAATGGGAGACTGTAACCAAGGACAGACAGGTATCAATTTAGGACATATAGTCACAATATATTCCCACAATGAATCCTGGCTTCCTCCCCTCTGCCCTGTAGATAATTGAGGAGTAATTCAATTATCTATCAGGACGAAGGCAAATCGCCATTATGCACGTGGGGATACCAATATAGGAATTACTGTTAAAATCCCCCATGTTACAAAGGTTACAATAAATATATACATTTAACATATACCCAGATAGCTCAGGTCTGAGCGCACATTATTAAGCGAATGGCGCTCATACCACACGAATACAGTTTAATCACCATGGAGCCAAAGTCTTTAATTCCACGAACAGGCTCCATGGCAGGCTATCTGGGTACTTTTACACCGAATACATTGTAACATTAAAAGTCCCGAATGCTCTGCTGTTCGGTTCCCGAACGGGGTTGCAGAACCGTAGGCTCAGCAGGGCTTGGAAGACAAAGTGTCCGCTTTTGGTGTCCTGCCGCTGGGTAGAACAAGCGCTGACTACCCAGGGGCTTCCATAACACCGCCATCGTGTGGCGGCTATGTGTAACCGCGACCACCCAGTGATTGTCAATTAAGCTGCGGTTAACCGCAGATACTGGGTGGTCAATTGACTGCACACGCCAGCCTCCCGGTGGTCGCGTAATCGGTAGCCGTTCGGTAGACAACGTGGGGAAACAAGGGGGCTGTATGGGCAAAGAAATAACCAAAAAAACAGACGAATGGAGGAAGGAGAAATATAATCTCAAAGACAGATGGTTCTGTCACAGTCAATATTTATCAACTGTTTTAGGTCTCATACAATAAAATTAATAAATTGAATGTGTTAAAATCCAAATTCCTGTTTGTCATCTTTCAGGAATTTTAACCTATGGATTGTTAAGCAAATGTACTGCCCTTATTCATGAAGTGACCAAAATCTCTGCTGCAAATTACTGATTTGTGAGCTTAACATCTGTGGTTAAAAAAAATCATTTGAAGTGTTATTAAAGGATCATATTCAGGAATTCATTGTGAACCGAGTCATTAGCATAGAGATGATTTCAATGAAAGGGTTTCTCCAGCTTGATGCGGTTATTATGATGCCAGATGTACCCTGGCCCTGCCTCCAGTAATGGCGTAAACTAGACATGTGCAATTCAGTTCAGTCCTAATTGAAATTCGGACGAATTTCAGGCATTCGGACATTCGGATGCTTCCAAATGTCCGAATGTCAGAAGTGCCGAACCGAATTGCCGAATTTCGGAAGTGCCGATGTGCTTCGGACTTCTGAAAAGTGGCAAAACGGGTAGGGGTAGGATTGGGGTTGGGTATGGTTAGGGATAGGGGTTAGGGTAGGATTAGGGGTAGGTTAGGAGTAGGGTTAGGGTTGGGTTAGGGTAGGGTTAAGTGTTAGGGTTGGGCTAGGAGTAGGGTTAGAGATAGGGTAGAGTTAGGAGTAGGGTTTGGGTTAGGAGTAAGGTTAGAGTTGGGTTAGGGGTAGGTTTAGGAGTAGGGTTATGGTTAACCCTAAGCCATTCGAAGTGGCATTCAAACACGTGGCCGCAGCCATCTTGTTTAGTCGAACGCATCCAGCGGTGTTTGGTCATCGAGTGCATGGAACTCATTTGGACACTTGACGGCACGAACACCGCTAAAACTTCACCTTCCATGGATGTTCAGCTATTCGAACAGGAGTTGAACAGTGTTCGGTAAGAAGATGCCCCAGAACAAGAGATATACACTAACTAAATCCACAACTGGCTTAGTTCAGTAATTCGAACGCTATTTCGATTCCTCGAAGTAGACCGGCTGCACAGTCTGATTCTCTGGAACTGTTTTGGGCATGAAACCATGCGTGCGGTCGGTCAAAATGGAACTTCCATAAAATTTCTGAACCTCTGATCTGGGTGATCTTTGGATATGTTGGTCACCCAGATCAGGGCTATCAGGGGATGTATCATTTGTGGGGATATCATGTGTTTTGTGTTTCAGTTATACCCCCAGAGCTGAGTGTCGTCCATTTGCCGTGGAGGTCTTAGGAGCATCTTGGATTACTTTGCTGTATTTGGCTGTTTCCTTGGAGTAATTTACTCGTTTATGAGTATATCTTGGAGTAACCAGCGGAGGAGATTCCCTGTTAGGACTTTGGCTCCACTACAACGTGTGTTTGGTTATACGAATGGCAGCCACCCAGGTGTGACTATGGCTCCTGTTGTGAACTTTGGGTTAAAGACTTTATTTGTGCCTTTTTGGACTTATGAAGTAGCACTTCGAATTCCCGAAGCAATTCGAAGCGGCACTTCGAATTACCGAACAACCGTATAAACCAGAAACCACCCTGGAGCTTGTTAACACCTATTAACAACTTGGAACGTTTCTCACCGCAGTTTTCTAATTGTTCGTCTTGGTGGCTTCAATTCCTATAGACAACCACAAGGTGGCGGCCATCTTGTTCACATGAACGTAGGCAGCGGTGTTTGGGCATGAATCTCCTGGAACTAAAATCGGATACAGAAACTCCCGAACACTGCTGGAATTCATCATCACCTGCGTTCATTTTTATTCAGCTTAGAAAGGCATTGTTCGGTGATATCATTTATTTGGATGAAGGGAACGAGCTCCAGGGTACGAACTATTGACTCTGTTCTGTAGTTTGTTCATTTTCAAACTACCAAACTAGACCGACCACAAGCCCTGATTCTCTGATACTGTTTTGGGCATGGATCCATGTAAGCGGTCGATCAAATACATGACTTCTATAACATTTCTGAACCCCTGAACTGATCTGGGTGATTTTTGGATATGTAATAATCACTAGGTCTTCTAAGAGCTGTTCCTGCTACGCTCTCTAGAGTAGGAAAGGTCTGCCCACTGGAAGCTGGATCCTGGTCTTGGGTCCAGGGTGGGTGGAGGACAGCGAGTTCCCAGCCAAGCTGTAACGCTGGACGTGTGGACTACAGTGCTGATGGTGTCGGGTGGAGTGCTTGGAGTCCACTACAGGCATCAGTTGGCGGAGGCACCCAGTCGGGGTGCCAGGCGGTCCGTCACACCAGGGAAAGCACTTGAGCTTTGCTCCTTTGAAGTGGTCGGTGGGTATAAAAGGGTAAAAAAAACACACATCTTCCATTCGAGAAAAAAACAGGGGGGATACGGACAGCCGAACAGAGAGGAATAAGTCTTATATAGCAAACCCATTCTGCTACAACTATACCTGTAGAAGGTGTTTTTAAGATAATGTCTTAATCAAGACAAAAGTGGCAAAAAACGTTTTGGCCAGGTCTGCTAAATAGTAGAATTTTGTCCCTCCTAGATGGGTGATATATCTTACAGTTGAGATTTTGTCCATCTTTAATAATATATAACAAATATTTTTTGTTCTCCAAGATTATTACCGACCAGCCTAATAACTGTTGATGTGGAGGTCTGTTTCTTGCCATGACCTTTTAACCCTTGTGTCCCGACTACTGTATGACCCAACACGTAAAACTATGATAACACAATTGTGACAAGACCAATCTCGCCACATTGCATTGGAGAAGCCTGGTTGCTCGCCTGCTGCCTTTGGACTATGGCCCCCTTTTAAAAGACTTTATTTTTGCCTGCAGAAAAGCTGTATTCGTGCTTTTCTGCCTGGGGTTCAGTAGATTTGTTTGAATGTGTTATACCCCAGATAGGAATCCCATGGAGCCCATTTGTATGAAACTGACTGTAAAGACTTTGGCTCCATGGCGATTAAACTGTATTCGTGTGGTCTGAGCGCCATTCACTTAATAATGTGCGCTCAGACCTGAGCTATCTGGGGATATGTTACATGTCTGTGTTTTATGTAATAAATGTGACTTTATGTATTTTAAAGTGTTTTGTGTCTTTTTGCAACCATGTGCTTAATGGAGTCTTGTGTCTGTCCTGGGAGATAATTGAATTACTCTCCAGGATAGAAGACTCTGAAACTGGTTTGGGCCAGAAAGCCATGCTTCATTTAGTCACAAAGGACTTTTTACTAACTTTTGAACCCCTGGTCTGATTCATGCCATTTTTTAATATGTTGTTCCCCTGAATGGATTGATTGTGAATATGTAATTTTATGTGAATGTGATGTATGGTTTTAGAGTTATGAAAGTTGGGTAGAAAGTATGTTTTAACTGTATGTGTAATTGAGTTTCCTCTCAGGATAAGGGGAGGGAATATGTGGGATGTAACTGTGATGTGATTGGTTGTTTTATACCTCCCTGTGGGCGGTCCTGTATTTGCAAGACTGTAATAAAAACCAGGCTGTGTGTGCCAGCACCTCAGACCACTGCTTGACCCTCAACACGGAGCCTTGTCTCGTTCTTGGGGGGATTCACTGTATGCTGTTAGAGACTGATTGCCAGGAGTGTAAGCTGATTGTCTGCTTTTCCTGTTCGTCTGCTAGCAGCTATTTGGGAGGTTCCAGTTCGGGAGTTGGAGTGCTATTTTGTATCCAGTTCATGAGTTTTGGTGTTCTGCAGTAGCTGTGCCTGGATCTCTGGAAAGGGGGCCGATCGCCTAAACGGTTTTTACCCCTTGTGTGCAAAACGGTCCGTTACAACAATGACAACGTATGGGGGATAATGTTATATATTATGGGGCCTTAGAATGGCCGGACTTAACGTTAAAGAGAAAGGTCAATAAACAAGCCGAGGTCGGGGATACAGAATGAGACAATACAAAAATACCAGCCAAAGGTCAGGATGCCAGAAATAGGGAAAGTCAAAATACAAGCTATAGCAGAAGCACTGCTTGTCCGGATATTTTTCCCTTAAATTGTGTGTTTCCCCTGGGTTTCCTATATTTGGTGTGTGACAGATTCATCTGTATTGCTGGTTCGTCTGTTTCCCTTTTGTTCACTGGATTTCCTGTTCATATACCCCCGTTCGTGTAATTTGCAAACTACCGATTGAAACTACCGAACGAACGACCACCCAGGAGAGGAGTGTGCTGCTGGTTAACCTCTTGGCCCCAATTAGAACGTTGTGGTTAACCGCAGACAACTCTCCATTCCATTCGTACGGGTGGTCGTCGTTCGCATGTCGACCACGAGGCAGCGGCCATTTTGGGACATACGAACGCATAGCGGTGTTCGGTACAAACTGTATGGAACTAAAAACGGACACTTAAACTACCGAACACCGCTGGAAGCTGCTGCCTACCTTCCATTTCGACAAGGCATGCGAACGTCGGTCGTTCGGGAGTTTTTATTCATTCGTATGGACTTTTACCCAGATATTTGGTGTGTGACAGATTCATCTGTATTGCTGGTTCGTCTGTTTCCCTTTTGTTCACTGGATTTCCTGTTCATATACCCCCGTTCGTGTAATTTGCAAACTACCGATTGAAACTACCGAACGAACGACCACCCAGGAGAGGAGTGTGCTGCTGGTTAACCTCTTGGCCCCAATTAGAACGTTGTGGTTAACCGCAGACAACTCTCCATTCCATTCGTACGGGTGGTCGTCGTTCGCATGTCGACCACGAGGCAGCGGCCATTTTGGGACATACGAACGCATAGCGGTGTTCGGTACAAACTGTATGGAACTAAAAACGGACACTTAAACTACCGAACACCGCTGGAAGTTGCTGCCTACCTTCCATTTCGACAAGGCATGCGAACGTCGGTCGTTCGGGAGTTTTTTTATTCATTCGTATGGACTTTTACCCAGACAGCCGTCCCATGGAGTCATTCGTATACCGAAGGACTGGTGAAAGACTTTGACTCCATGGCAATTCGACTAGATACATCGGATCTGAGCGCTATTTGGTGAAAACATGCACTCAGATCCAGGCTGTCTGGGGATACGTTACACAAACTATATGCATTCGGTATTTCTTCAGTTATGTATTTTAATGTATTTTTATTACTGTAAGTTAAAATGGTGATTGTCTCTACCTTGGGAGATAATTAGGTTTCTTCCTAATTATCTCTGGGGTAGAGAAGGCGGATTTATGGGTAAGATGGGAAGGGCTATTATTGAAGCCACTGCGATTGGCTACTGTCCAATATGTTTTACAGTCTTCCACAAGGTCCCCTCGGGGAGTGTCCACCTTGTGGAGACCTGCATAAATACCGGGCAGGTAGCCCTCATTAAACAGATCTTCATTTGACCCTCAAGACGGAGCTTGGTCTCGTTTGTGGGGGGAATTATTACTGGGACAGCGCTTTCGTTATTTTTAGCTGTTTGAAGGCGTTCGACTGTTTTGCTGATTGGGAGTTGCCGTGTTCGTGGACTTCGTTCGGGAGTGTGGCGGTCGGCTGGATTTAAACTGCATTTCTGGAGAAGGGGATTATTTACTAAACGGCGGCTTCATCTACCCGACGGTACGTGTCGTAACATGGTGTAATATGCCATTCATCCTCCGAACGAGGACCACCCCGGTACCCCATTAAAACGTTAACACCAATTAATCAGAACGTTCGCATCTGCAACATAGGTGTGAAAGCGCAAGTGAAGTGATTAATGAGTGCTCCCCTTGGGTGGCCGCCAGGGGGAGCATTTGTATCCCGAAAGGACACCATAAGCATCGTAGCCCCTTAGCTGCCGCAGCTTGGCTGGGGTCTCGCTGTCCACCACCCACCCAGCTTTCGGTGGGTGGACCTCTCCTACTCCAGAGAGTCTAGCAGGTATTGCTGTGTAGCTCTTACAAGAGCTAGTGATTATAGCCAGTATAGCAATCCGAAGCAGGTATGGCTGGCATGAGACGAGCTCCTTCTGTCTGTGACCTCCTGCAGTGGGAGGGACAGACTCTGTGTCCCATAGCTCCTTCTGTCTGTGTCACCCTGCAGTGGGAGGGACAGACTCCGTGTCCCATAGCTCCTTCTGTCTGTGTCACCCTGCAGTGGGAGGGACAGACTGTGTCCCATAGCTCCTTCTGTCTGTGTCACCCTGCAGTGGGAGGGACAGACTGTGTCCCATAGCTCCTTCTGTCTGTGTTACCCTGCAGTGGGAGGGACAGACTCAGTGTCCCATAGCTCCTTCTGTCTGTGTCACCCTGCAGTGGGAGGGACAGACTCTGTGTCCCATAGCTCCTTCTGTCTGTGTCACCCTGCAGTGGGAGGGACAGACTCCGTGTCCCATAGCTCCTTCTGTCTGTGTCACCCTGCAGTGGGAGGGACAGACTCCATGTCCCATAGCTCCTTCTGTCTGTGTCACCCTGCAGTGGGAGGGACAGATTCCGTGTCCCATAGCTCCTTCTGTCTGTGTCACCCTGCAGTGGGAGGGACAGACTCCGTGTCCCATAGCTCCTTCTGTCTGTGTCACCCTGCAGTGGGAGGGACAGACTGTGTCCCATAGCTCCTTCTGTCTGTGTCACCCTGCAGCGGGAGGGACAGACTCCGTGTCCCATAGCTTCCTTCTGTCTGTGTCACCCTGCAGTAGGAGGGACAGACTCCGTGTCCCATAGCTCCTTCTGTCTGTGTCACCCTGCAGTGGGAGGGACAGACTCAGTGTCCCATAGCTCCTTCTGTCTGTGTTACCCTGCAGTGGGAGGGACAGACTCCGTGTCCCATAGTTCCTTCTGTCTGTCACCCTGCAGTGGAAGGGACAGACTACGTGTCCCATAGCTCCTTCTGTCTGCCACCCGGCAATAGGAGGGACAGATTCTGTGTCCCATAGCTCCTTCTGTCTGTGTCACCCTGCAGTGGGAGGGACAGACTCCGTGTCCCATAGCTCCTTCTGTCTGTGTCACCCTGCAATAGGAAGGACAGACTCCGTGTCCCATAGCTCCTTCTGTCTGTGTCACCCTGCAGTGGGAGGGACAGACTCCGCTGTCCATAGCGTCTGTGTCACCCTGCAGTGGGAGGGACAGACTGTGTCCCATAGCTCCTTCTGTCTGTGTCACCCTGCAATAGGAGGGACAGATTCTGTGTCCCATAGCTCCTTCTGTCTGTGTCACCCTGCAGTGGGAGGGACAGACTCCGTGTCCCATAGCTCCTTCTGTCTGTGTCACCCTGCATTGGGAGGGACAGACTCCATGTCCCATAGCTCCTTCTGTCTGTGTCACCATGCAGTGGGGGGGACAGACTCCGTGTCCCATAGCTCCTTCTGTCTGTGTCACCCTGCAGTGGGAGGGACAGACTCCGTGTCCCATAGCTCCTTCTGTCTGTGTCACCCTGCAGTGGGAGGGACAGACTGTGTCCCATAGCTCCTTCTGTCTGTGTCACCCTGCAATAGGAGGGACAGACTCCGTGTCCCATAGCTCCTTCTGTCTGTGTCACCCTGCAGTGGGAGGGACAGACTCTGTGTCCCATAGCTCCTTTTGTCTGTGTCACCCTGCAGTGGGAGGGACAGACTCCGTGTCCCATAGCTCCTTTCTGTATGTGTCACCCTGAAGTGGGAGGGACATACTCCGTGTCCCATAGCTCCCTCTGTCTGTGTCACCCTGCAGTGGGAGGGACAGACTCCGTGTCCCATAGCTCCCTTCTGTCTGTGTCACCCTGCAGTGGGAGGGACAGACTCTGTGTCCCATAGCTCCCTCTGTCTGTGTCACCCTATAGAGGGAGGGACAGACTAAGTCCCATGGCTCCCTTCTGTCTGTATCATCCTGCAGTGGGAGGGACAGACACCATATGCCATAATCAGTACCTGTACCTTCTCTATAGCTTCCTGGAGTCCATTCCTAAGCAGAGACCACAGTCGCTGGGCATTTTTTGGAACTCTTTTCTTATTCCCAAATTGTTTCTCCTTAAAATCTGAAGATGTATAGAAGGGATAAATATTAATACAAACAAAAAGGTGTTTATTGTAGTCTATACAGGAGAAGCTAAAACCCAATTAAAATATATGAAACCTACATCTACCCCTAATACCGGGTAAAACGGTAACAGCTACATCTACCCCAAATTACGGGTAAAACAGTAACAGCTACTCTACCCCCAATTACGGGTAAAACGGTAACAGCTACATCTACCCCCATTTACGGGTAAAACGGTAACAGCTACATCTACCCCCAATTACGGGTAAAACGGTAACAGCTACATCTACCCCCATTTACGGGTAAAACGGTAACAGCTACATCTACCCCCAATTACGGGTAAAACGGTAACAGCTACATCTACCCCCAATTACGGGTAAAACGGTAACAGCTACATCTACCCCCAATTACGGGTAAAACGGTAACAGCTACATCTACCCACAACTACGGGTAAAACGGTAACAGCTACATCTACCCCAAATTACAGGTAAAACGGTAACAGCTACATCTACCCACAATTACGGGTAAAACGGTAACAGCTACATCTACCCACAATTACGGGTAAAACGGTAACAGCTACATCTACTCACAATTCTGGATAAAAAGATAACAGTCACATCTATCCCCAATACCGGATAAAAAGGTAACAGACACATCTATCCCCAATATCGGGTAAATTATGAATTGTGCAGTACGAGATAATCAAAAACTTACACGGTCCTTGACGTTTGTCACAGCTGTCCAGCATTTCCACAAACTAAAAGACAGGGACAAGAGTTTAGAGTTAGGTAGACTAGGTAGTCCAGGCGTAGGTTGAGACCAGGAATGAGGAAAGAATAGAGAGTCCAAGAGTCGAGATAGAAAATAAGTAAAGTAAGGGGTTAATGTTGTATTTTATACAATATGCTTGGTGGAGCTAATAAGACACATGGAGAGGCTGGGGGGAGAAAAGGAGACACATGGAGGGTGGAGTCACATGGAGGGGCTTGGGGGAGGAAAGTAAACAC